GGGGAGAAGGAAAAGAAGCAAAACAGGGGCTGGGAGGCAGGCGCACTCCGCTTCCCACCCCAGTTTGCCAAGACCAACACAGCCCCTTTCCTTGTCCTTTTGTCTGACAGGTAAATTGGATTTTGCTCTCTCTGACTCAAGCTTGTGGCCATGCCATGAGTGGGATTTCCAGCCAGACAGTGCCATTTGGACAGATCCCGTTTTGGGAAAGTTGGGTCTTTCCCTTGTTTGGGGAATCTTTAAGAAATGGACAGTTTTTGTGTATGTGGTGGGAGACTACTTCGTCTCTTAAATGCCTACAGTGCATTGGGTCCTACCGATTTTGATGGGAAAGTAAGCCCGCACGTGCTCGACTCTCTCCCAGAGAAATCAATGGGGCATGCCAGGGCTTAACTTTGATTGGATTGTGCTCTTTGTTTGTAGAAAAGGTGGGTGACTGGCGGTGTTACAAAAACAGCATGGGGAGGTTGGGGAAAATTTCCTCCGTGCCACATATGTGCCTTCAGATCTCCTGTCGACTTATGGTGACCCTATTAATTTCACAGGGTTTTCTCAGGCAACGAATATTCAGAGGTGGTTTTTGCCAGTTCCTTCCTCTGAAATAGAGCCTACAGTAGTGTTGCTTAAACTGGTACAACTGGACAAGTAACAGTCCCTGAGCCATCAGCTGCCATTCCTTAGCAAAATTTCAAGAAAAAAGAAAAAAAAAGACAATTGTAGCCAGTAGGAACAAACACAGTGGAAGTCCCTGGGCCATAAGGTAGCCCGAGAGGTAGCTACAGGACCTGCCATTTGTTAGTGGTACTAACAGTTGTCTGACCTTGCTCAGCTTCCAAGATTGGATGGGATCGAATGCTTTCGGGGTATTGAGACCCAAATATGTACTGTACTGTGGGTTTAAGAAATAAAGAAATGCATTTATTAACCTTCTTCTCTGCCCAGATTTTGGAATCAACCCTCATTCTGGTCTTTCAGGAGGAGTGGTTATAAAGCCAGATTCACTTGGAGACTGTAATAATGGAAAGCCCCATAAGGCTCAGAGGCTCCTTACTTCCATTCCAGATGAGCCTATGATAAAGTACAGCTGGGTCTAAATAGAGCAACTTTCAAGATTAAGCAGGCTGTTTTAAACAGCCCAATGGAGGGATTACACAAGATAGAAAGCTCTGAGGTATACAGATTTTATGATGAATTTCATCCACCCATCCATACCCTTCAAAATCACATGGCCAAGCAGCATCAGAGTGTGGCCAAGGTGGCAAAAATTATTAATGAAGAAGAATAAACAAGGTAGGAGAGGTTGCTTTTGCCTGATGCTACTGGAAAGGGAAAGACTACATCCCTCCTTTCTCCCCCCTGCGGAGTTAACTGAGTGCAAACTACTTTTGGACTTTGAACCCAGTCTGCAGCATTTGAAGTAAGCTGAGGCCAAAGATGAAGGTGGGAGAGAGAGTAACGTGGGGGGTTTAATAAGCAGCTAAAAGAGTGGGACAGACAAATAAATAGGACTATTCTTGCCAAATTGGGACAGAATATGCCTGTCTTGTCAAAGGTAGAGTTTGAGAGCAGGAACACTTACTTGTCATATAATAATAATTATAATATCTTAAT